TCTCCTCTCCTCTCCTCTCCTCTCCTCTCCTCTTTTTTCCCCTTTCCTTTTTCTCTTTCCCCCTCTTCCTTTGCTCTTCTTTTCCAGTACAAGTGGTGAAAAGGGGATGGTTTTGCCCAGGGGATGGTTTTGTCTGGGTGCTTTAAATAACGGCAGAAATCGGGAGGATTTGTGTGCCGGGCATCCTACGGGATTTCATTCCCATGACTTCTGCCTTGTTTTAGGGAGGAGACTGGAGTGTTTTTCTTTAATACTCGAAGTGAGTTGAATTCCTGGAGCCTTTCTCATGTTTTCTTAGCGGTTCGGCTGATGATGTTAAAGCATGCACGTAGGGTCGGGGTGTTTGGAAGCGTGGCTGCAGGAATCTCTCCCGTAGATCCAGCGGGGGCTTTGGGAAAACGCCCGGAGCGGATGCAGAGGATGTTCTGCACAGGGCTGGGATGTTTGAACCATGAGTCCCTCTAGTGCAGACCCCAGGGATGGAGCTTTAAGGATGGTGTAAACGAGAAAAAAAATGTAGAAAATATCCCCTTTGTGGCTTTAGGTAAGTGCTCACCAAAGGGGGGCTTTATATTAAGGTTTTGTGGTTTTTTTTTTTTTTTTTTTTTTTTTTTTTTCATGCCATTTCTCTCATATTTTTTTTTTTCCTCCTAGAAATGGGATTTTTTTTTAAGGTGTAGCTGTTCTGATATTTATGGGAAAAAACAAGGGTGCCGAGAAAACCGCTGACTAAGCTGTTCTCCGGACCCAAACGAAAGTTTCACAATTCTGTTTCCCCGGTGTTTTTGCTGTGAGGTGGAGAAACCCCGACTGATTTCTCTGCAAACAGGACTTAGCTTTTTTTCGGGAGGGTGGTAACGACCGACTGGGGAGGAGGGCACAGAAGTTTTGGAGCCTGAGGCTTTTAAACATGAACTGTTCATTTTGGTGTTAACTGGCTTTGCCCTGTCTGGGGACCGAGACTCTTCTGTAGCTGTGAAAGGAGAAAAAGCAGCAGCTGAAGGGAACACTTTGTGCTGTCTGATTTGTGCAAGGGGAGAAAATGCTGTGAGGAAAGATTAGCTGCCTCCTTTCCTCATTGTGTGAGAGGAGGAGAACTCAGCCCTGTGCTCTGTAACCAGCTGTGGCTGAGTTTTAGAGTAATTTGTTTAAACAGGCCAGAGATTGTATTTACCTGATGCTGGAGCTGTAAATTACACCCCTGGGAAAAGCTGCCCCAAGGCAGGAATGAGGTCCTTGCTTCATGCTGGGCTTTGATTGTTTTCCTCCTCCCTCATGAATATGCAGCAAGTGTTATTTTCTATCACTTCAAAAGTTTTTGGGGTTTGTAAACTTAGTGGCCCAGCTTGTTGATGATCTCTGACTAGCAAGTTAATGTGGGTTTGTAAGTTAATCTGTGTGTGGACATTAACTCCAGCATGAAAACTGGGCAGTGTTTGGCTTTGGGTTTGGGTTAACAAGGTCCCTCTAGTCCAGCACTCCTTTTCTTCTGCTTTTGGTTGGTATAAATATAACCTGATGTCTTCTCCTTCAGCAAAGCAGGCTGCCCACGTGTCTGTCTTAAAAGGCTTTTGGAGAGGAACCCAAATGAGGCTTTTTTTGGTGTCTGTGTTAGGAATTGCATTTTCTGACATGACTGTCATCAGTTGCTATTAACAGTACTTGTATCCAAACGAACAAGGATTTAATCAGTACATCTTCCCCTTAGTGTTGGCATTCCTGTAGGGCCTGAAAGCAGGGACAAGGGGAGTATCCCACAGATCAGGTGAGAGCTGCTCGGCCAGAAAATGTTCCTGACAGCTGCCAGACAGTAATTTTCATGTCTAGAAGACCTCCACAAATCTTATGTCATGGATAATATTCCAGGAAGGTACTGCCAGGTGTTTGTTGGGCACTAAGGCATGAGGCAGTTTTAAGATATAAAAACTAACTCAGAACGAAAAGTAAATTAAAAAAAAAAGGGGCTGTTATGCTGTTCAGTGATTTTCCTAAATACAGTATTTCTGTCAGCTTCCCTACCTTTTATTACTCACTCTGAGATTAGTGGCAAGAGTTTTGAAGTGTTCTTCTGTGTTGTGTGTTCTTTGTGGCATTTCATGCCTCCCTTCCCTTGGACACTGCAAACACTACAAGAGAACCAGACTTAAACTTCTTTCTGTCCACAGCCAGCTTAATATTTTGATATGTGATCTGTGTGCCAAAGTATTCAGGCTTTTTTTTTTTTTTTTTTTTTTTAATCTAGAATGCTGCTTAATCCTAAAAAAAACAACAAAAAAATTGCTGTTGCTAAAGTGGGACAGCCACTCATAACTACATTTCTGCTGCTTCTTAGTCCATTATAAATCTCTGTCTCTGCCCAGGGGGAGAGGTTTGGGATGTTGAGGTACTTGCCAGAGCCCTGTGCAGAGCTGCTGTGACCACAGCACTTCTGTGGGATGTGCGTGCTTTCCTAATAAAAACATGTTTCCTAAACACAGTTAAAAAAATTGCTTCAGTAGATGCAGTAACATTCCATTAACTTAGTGACCTGCAGGAGTACTGCAAATAAAAATAGATTTATTTTCCTGTCTCTTCCAGGCCAGAGCATTTTTTTTATTATTATTAACAGAGCCCAATAAAGTTCTGTACAGTGAAATGACAGCTGGTGTTAATAAACAATTTACATGAATCCCTGCTGTCCCTTGGCTCTCCCAAATGTGCCTGTGGAGTGTAAGCTGGGCCATGACTGTGGTGATGCCGAGGAGGAGTGTGGTTCAGAGGATGAAGCAGGACTAGCCCAGGGAGCTCAATGTGAGTGGGCCCTATGGGAGATGTACATGTGACAGGAACACAGTGAAATAAGTGAATTAAATATGATTTACCTGTCTTGTCTATGCTAATAATGGGAAGAAATTAAGTGGAACAGCACAGATCAAAAGCCAACCTCCAGCTAAAAAACTTTTTAAGGGTTGCAGGTATGCAGTGAGCACTTTATAACATTAAAAAAAAACAAAGGAGTCTTCACAATACACTGCTATGTGTGACTGTTGTGCTTTGAGAAGATGCAATCATGTCTTGCATCACCCCTTGCAGTCACCTCTTGCACACAAGTGATGTGTCTTAGAAGGCACTGTGATATCCAGAAAAGAAGAGAATAAAAAGCTCTGAGTAGTTAATATTGATTTCATCAGGCTTTTTGTTATTTCTTCTAGGAAAAACAAGCTTTTTCTGTTAAAGATGTTCACTACAACATAGAGAATCCTGTGGTTGTCAGGATTTAATCCAGCTCTAATTTGAGCTGGTAAAACTGTTCCTACTGTCTTTGATAGCAGGCTGTGTCTTCCTGAGGGATTTCCTGGCCCTCCCATTTGCCAGAAACGGAGCATGAGCAGGGGTGCCCCTGTCCTGGCTTCCCTGTTCCAGCCAAAGATGCACAGAACCACGGGCCACTAGTCCTGTGTTGGTGACACCTGGGACAGTCTGTCACCTCCTGCGGTGGGGAATCTGCCCAGGAAACAGGAAAATGATGGGATGTCATCTGCAGGAACTGACTGAGAACTCAGAACTGATGTGCTCAAGAAAGATGCTCGGACTCGTGCTGGGTACTGCTGTTTGCTGTTCTTACACATATGCCAGAGACAAAGGTTGTTTTTATCACTCTGGTTACGTTAAAAGGAAAACCAAACAGGTTCTAAGTGTACCCATGGCTCTTCTTTATGTACCAGAACTATGCAGTTTGTGGTGTGATGCAAGATGTTATTTCATCTCCCTGAAACAAAGCAGTTACAAGTAGTTGTGGCTTGGGAAAACTGGTGTTTCTTAATGTTAGAAAGTGCTTGTTGCAAGCTGTGAGCCTTGGATGTTTGGTAGCTGGAGGCTGATTTTTGCCTGATTCTTTCTCCACGCTGTTCCATTCGCTGGTTTGTGTGTTCTGTAGGGTGTCTGGACATGGGCTGAGTCTCAGCAGGTAGTGCAGGACCTGCTGAAGGAAACCTCACAGCTCCCCTCAGGTGAGAGAGGTGGCCTGTGGGCTCAGAGGGCCTCTGCTGCTTTTTGCAGCTTCAGGTTGGCATTCCAGTGTCTTTCCTGATGGGAAAAATACACTGGGTCTCTGTTTTAGTTTCTATTTTTTAAAATATATTTTTAAAAATTATTATTTTTAGTTTATTCTATTTATTTTATGTTATCTCATTGTTAAAGTTATGTTCCTGATAAGATCTGCAAAAAACCCCCTGAGAGGAATGAGGGTGCAATCCCAGGTGGCTGTGCAGCCGTGAATTGTAAAAATCCCTCGATCCCTTTAGGAAATACCTTTGGTTTGCCTCCATAAAATCATACAGACAATTCCAGTAAATGTCTCTAAGCTTTTCTGCCTTGATTCCTCACCCCACTAGGGAAGCAGGGAAGGACAAAGCTGATGTGACTCACAGTGGTGATGTGCCTGTGGGGTGAGGGAGGGTGTGGGAATCACGGCTCGTGTCCATGGGAAGGGTGGCTGAAGCTGATGAGTTACACACAAGACCAGTCATGCATGAGGTTTTGTTGTCTTTTCCAGGCAGATTTGGAATGACTTCACATCTGAGTGTTAGGGAAGGACTCCCAGAATGGATCTGCACATGAAAAGGAGTTTTTTTTAACAGTGTGTAACAGCTGAGGCTTGAGTGATTATCCATGGCAAAGATGGGAATTACTGTGAGTAGCTGTGCTAGATTTTCAAATACAGTGGAAATCCTCATCATCCAGCCTCCCCTTCTCTTTTCAGCAAGGAGAGTTACTCCTTTGGGGATGATCCACTGCAGGCACAGCTGAGCAGAGGTGTGACTCTGGCTGCTTTTCTTTCATTCTCCATTTGGGAGCATCCCATAGGATTTCCCTCTGCTGTGACTCTCATATCACCTCACAGCCTTTTAAAGCATGGAGAGGCAGAGCAGTTGGAATTTCCTCAGGCCTCCATCACGCAGTGCCTGTGGGATCCCTCCCTGGCTGCATCCTGGATGCTCTCCTGGTGTGCAGGGACAGCAGTGAGTGCTGTGACCTGGTGGTGGGGAGTCCCCCTCACCCCAAATCTTGTGACATCCTCCTCACTGGAGAGTGTTTTAGCCTCTGCCCAACCCTTTTCTCTATCAAAGAAAGTGAGTGTTGTCTCTGCTTGGGAATTGTGATGGGCTGTGTTGATACCCTTAAAAATGTCAATTTTTTCAGGCTTGTGCCTTCAAGCAACAGCAAGAGGTGTTTGCAGGAGCTGGGCCTGCCTTTGCTCTGGGGACGTGCACATTGTCAAAAGCTGAAACCCTCAATTCCTCCAGCTCTTGGGGCCAAGAGCAAGGAATTCCAAATTAAACAGATTAGCTGCAAGCCCTGAACGTCTCCCAGCTGTATGCCTATGCCCCAGAGAGTGAGCAATGTAAATAAAATGTCACGCTGCACTTTGAAGTTGGTGTATTTTTGACCAGTACACCAGTTCCTTATTTTCTAAAATGAGTAATGCAGTGGGATGCGTAATTCATATCCCAAATACAAGAAAATGCCAAGAAATTCCTATGTCCCATCAGCTGTGGCTTTTGTTTATGTTTATTTCAGACATATAGACTGGATGTATTTTTTAATGTGTATCTAGGATAGAAAAAGCAGAGTTAAATAGAAGTGAAGCCACATGTAATATCAAAGTAACATTTGAGGCAAATCATCATAAATCAAGCAGTATTTTATGTAGAAGTTGTGCTTCAAGTTTTTTTTTTTCCTTTCAGAGTTAAATAATAACCAAAACAGTGACACAAAGAATATGGCAGTAAAACACAGAGATAAATCTGCCATGTTTTACTTGGATATCACAAGGGCTTAGAAACATTTCGGGTGTTTTATATACCATATGTGCTTTATTGCTTAAACTGCAGAGAATTTGTACCTCCCTGAGGGACTCTTGCACTCTGTGGCAAAAAGCTTGAAGGATTCTCTGGGTGTTTGTGGAAAGAACAGCAACATCTCGTGGTGTGGTTGTGGGACAGCCTCACCACAGCGTGCACAGGATGCAGAGCTTGGCATTAAATTTCCATATGGCCTGTATGCAACAGACAACCTTGCTCCTGGAAATAAAACTGACTTGTAAGAGTGTATGGGGTCCATAGTTTTTCTGGAAGGGTGGAAATAAAAATGGCCAGGCACTGTCCACAAACAGAGCAGCTCACGTGAAGAGCTCAGCTTATTTGGAAGGGATTATCTGATTCTTTTGTCACACTGTAGGTAGATGAATCTGGGGTTTTTTTTTTGAGCTGGGAGCAAGTAATGAGGCTGGTGTTTACCCAGCTGAGCAAGTGGCACACATAAGTTTTGTGCTTGGGTGTTCCAAAGGGAATTTGTTTACAGGATGTGTAGCTTAACAGTTCTGGAGCTGCAATGGCCTCTGGAGCTAGAGAGGCAATAAGGAATGTATTTATAAAATTCTGCTTTTCTGTGTGTTGGGAGTGTGAGTACTGTCTATAAAACACTGCATTTACTTGCTTTGTGCTTTGCAGAAGGGAGGTGTTTCCCTGACCTTCCTCTTTAGCTCCTCCAATATTTTAAAAGAGACCCTTTATGTTTGAACACAGGGGGATGTGCTTGAGGGTTTTAATTGGTGCCAAATTTTAGGGAAGGCCCCTGAAGAGAGGGAGATGTGCAGGGAGGGCAGCTGTGCACTGTGTGGTTCAGGAGGTGACAGGAGGCTGTGCTGTCACGGCGTGGTGGGGACATGGCTGATGGCACACCCTGAGCACCCAGCTGCATCTGGATCAGAAGTGCCAAAGCCAACCTGTTTGTGAGGGATGCACCTCAGAGTGAGCAGGGAGTCATTATTAGTGCAGGAAGAGGTAACAATATCCCCCAGCAAGGCATGGAAGTTGAGCTGTGTTTTTGCTGCAGATTTGATCTGGGATTTCTGAAGCAACAAAGGACCCAGGGATAGCTACAGCCTGTGAAATCTCTCAATAATAGGATAGGATTTCTCTTCTTTCCATCCTCAAGGTATTAAAATGAAGAAATTAAGCTGCAATGACTGCTCATTAAATGCTGAGGGAGTGTGTTAATCTGATAAATGGGAAGATTGTTTTCAGGCAGAAGAGGATGAATTGAAATGAATTGCAACTTTTGGGTTTACTGGAATTAATGCAGCAAGGATCAACTGTTATTTCAGCCAGCTTTTTTTTTACTGGCAGTTTCAATATTCTAAAAATGGTATTTCCTGCCTCCTCTCTGAACAAGATACCACACATGCTTGTAATTTAAATGTCACAGGCCCCATAACATGTGTGATCAATGGTATCTTGTATCATTTTCCTTTTACCCAAAGAATTTTGGTTACATTTATGTGGGTCCCATTGGGGACCTTGGCTTTTTAGAGGGAAAACACATCTATCCTGAAGCCTGAATTTTAGTTTGATTTCAAGGAAAAATGTCCCAGTTCATAGGAAGGAATTTGGAGCACAGTTTAGGACACAATAGAAATTGAAAGCATTATTTTATTGCTTTGTGCAGATGTAAAAGAATCAGAAAACAAGTGATGTAAAGCAGCATAAGAATGATTTTTATTTTTTTTTTTAAACTGGATGAGTGGTGCTATCCTTAACACACAAGAGGTTGCATTTCGTTGTATTAGCATGACATTCTCCAATCAGCTTGTAAAAATTCATTTGGGCTTTTTTTCCTCCATTCCTAGTAGTCATTTTTTGGGATCAGTGAGCAACAGTATTCCTTGTTTATTTCAACTATCTACTTCAACACTTGTTGCGTGTGTGTTTTTGTTATCATCAGCATCTTTTTTTGTTTTAAAAAATTCCCATGTAACTGCAACAGCAACAAGACCTGAAAGCTGCAGCCTCTGACAGGTACACCGAGGGCATTGTGACTGCAGAGAAAAGTGGTTTTTTCCTCTTTTTCCATCTGGGAAAATGGTTTTCTTCATTGACACTTACTGACTGAAGTTAAATGTTTGGCAGGTGGAGTTCAAACATCTTTTTGTTTTGTAATGGGAAAAACGCCCCTGCCAAATAATCTGCAACATCGCATTTTAAAAAGGGAGTAGTAACAGACCTTGGGGGGAAAAAAAACCCCTGAACATCTGGGAATAATAAAGGACACTGAAAAATTCCATTTCTAACAAGAAAAGGAAACAGTCTGCAAATGTGGTCTTTATTGTAAACACCCGATTTTATGGTTTCTTTTCCACTGGTGCATCACAGTGTTGTGTGATTTTCCCTTGAGCATGGCTGTGGTCACACTGGAGGGTTGTGGCAGCATCCCCACAAAAAAAAAGGCTTCTCTCCCATCCCCATTGTGTTTTATTTCTCTCTCTGGCCATCCCTTATCTCCTGTAGATGCCTGAGGAGTTTTTGGTGGCAGCCTTGGAGGCTGTTTCCCTATGTTCTCTTGTCCACCAGGCTGCCCCAGTGTCCCAGCTGTTCCAAAAAAGCCACACCCCGAGCCAGCATCGCATTAGCTGGTCCTAACAAATGAGGCTTTGAAAAGAGGGCTGAAAACTTTGAAACTTCAGCTCTAGAAATAATTAATGCTGAAAGAGCCATGGTGGCAACCAGAGGGAAAGGAGGAGAAGGGTGTGATATGGGAGGAAAAAGTGATGACCAAGTCAGAGACCAAATAGCTGTGATTTTTCTTTCCATTGCTGTGCTTTATGATGAAGTGATTGTGTGGGTGAAGGACACACTGGTAGTTGTGTGTGTCTGAGCTATGACAGTAATTTGTACTTGTTTGCTCCTTTTCTCTCTCTCTCCTTCTGTAAGTGGTGATTAGAGTGCTTATAAAATAACTAGCATAGTGCAAATGCTTTTCTGAACAAAAAGGTCGAGAGTTCAGAACCTAATGAAGGAGCAGAGTCCCCCTCTGTTGAGAGCTCTCTGTTGGCCAGCCTCAGAGTGAGCTGATTGTGCCACAGCTTATGGCACTTTCTTACTGGCTACAAACTGCCCCAGAAATAATGGAGTAATGATAAAAAGAGAGACTTGTAGCACAAGTTTCACTTGGCTGAACTGTAGCACGTCTAGAAGTGAGCTGTTCTCTACGAGTTACAGATAAAGAATGGCTTTTATGGTTATGTGATTCTGTAGTGCGTGCAATTAAACAGCCTGACTGTGGCTCTCTGTGCATGAAGGGCAATAGCTCAAAGTCATCATTAGCTGACCTTAATTACCAGAGTAATGTCCATGCAGGTGGTTTTTGTCTCTGTGAACTCTGCCTTCCTTGTGCTTTCAGGCAAATGTGGATGTGTTCTGACAGAACAAGAGTAACTTTCTATCAAACGAGCCATGTTTATATGTGCCCCCCTGCTGTTTCATTGTACTCCATTCCTCCTCAGGCGCTGGCAATTTTTTGCTTGCTCCCTCATCAGGCAGGAGCAGTGGGGAGGAAAAACTTGGGGGCAACATGCCCTGCATAAGGATGCAACGAGCATTTAAATTTCAGCGCACAATTTAGAACCATGAAGGCAAGATTAATGATTTACTGGTTGCAGTCCTGCTCAGAGGACATCCAGCTGAGCCCTTTTACCAAAGACACTTTGTTTGATGAAGTGTAGTTTATTAATTGGTTTAAAGACCTGTCCTTTTTCCAGGCCACCAGCCAACTCAGTGCTTGGCAGATGTGAGTGCTGTAACTTGGCCTTGACTTGTGTTTCATCAGCGTTTTGTCTGCGGTGCAGGCTTGCAGTCTGCTCCTCAGCAGGAATGTACTGCTCATCCTTTGGGCTAATTTCTTGTTTAAAAGTTTAATGCCTTTCCAATGCTTCCTTATAACATTTCCAGTTAAGAGTGTAAGCCTGGGTTGAAGGAACTGATGTAAAGGGATTCCTGCCCATGTCAGGCAGGCATCCAGGTTTCTGCCCTGGTGACAGCACCATGTGCACCTTTGCCATCAGCACTGAGTTGCTGCAGCTTTTCATCAAAAAAATAATCCCTTCTCTCCCTCCTGATTCTATTTTTGGAAACAGCTGCACCATTCTTAGTAAAATCCTGGGAAGGAGGGGAAACCTTACCCAGAGCTGATGCCTGGTATGGAAAAATCTGTCCATATTTGAAATGATGCATAAGCTGTATAGTATTATGTTGTATATAATGAAGCTGAAAGTATTATTCAAGCAGTCCTGTACTGCTGTGGGGCATTCTGCCCTCTCTGATTGAGAGGCTCTGTGCATCAGATGCTCTGAACAGCTGTAGAGCTTAGAACACCCTTCAATCCCCAGCCTGGGAGAGCAGTGGGGATTCACAGGCAGTTTATCAGATTCTACACAGCTTTCTCAGATTATACATGTAAAACAAAATACACTGGATTTGTGAACTGCTTGAAAATTTGGGGTTTGTGTGATTAGAGTTTGATTTGAATCATGTTTGTTGTTTCTCCATAGATGGCTTGCGGGTGATGCGCTGTGCAAGTGCCTCAAGTTTTCCTACAAGATGTGTTCCCCAAATCCAGCAAACTGGGTCACCTTTGATGACGAGCCTCTCTTCCAGTCACCTCAGAAATTGGTTGACAATCAGAGTAGCTCCAGACCAAATGGCCTTAAGCTCAAACTGTGCAGTGTTCATGAGTCTTCAAGCAGGCCATCCTCTACAGGCAGCACTCCGCTCTCATCTCCTGTGGTTGATTTCTACCTGAGTCCTGGACCCCCCAGCAACTCTCCACTTACTACACCTACCAGAGACTACCCAGGAAACCCCTGCATTCCAAAGTCTGGGATTCACATGCTTTATCCCATCCCTGAATGGCCATCAAATGTTAACCCTTCTCCATCCCCTGGGACGTGCTCATCCCTGACCTCACAGAAACCAAGCAGCCTTCCTTTGAGCCCCTCACCTGATGACCACCCAAGTAAGACTTTGGTCTCCAAATCAGCAGATGAAGGAAGTCCTAACCCACCAGGAAGCTGCGAGGAGCTGGCTCCAGGACACTTCCCATACTTCCACAGTGACTGTGCTTTTTCCAGTCCTTTTTGGAAGGAAGGGTGCTCCCTCAGCATGTCACCAGCTAATGCCAGCATGCACAGGAAGGACAAAGTGCTTGACAGGAGTGGGTGTCATCCTAGAGACAAAGAAACTTGTCATGATCAGAAAAGTCTTAACCAGGGCTCCTTCAGTTACATCTGTGAGAGGCTTGAACACCTGCAAGCTGACAGCTGTGAGGCCCTGGAAAACCCACCCATCTCCAGCAGCCCCGCGTGGCACAAGCTCTGCCCCGCCATCCCACGCAGCCTTTTCAGGAGCCAGAAATCAGACGGGTGGCCATTCATGCTGAGGATTCCAGAGAAGAAGAACATGATGTCATCTCGGCAGTGGGGCCCCATTTACCTGAGCGTCCTGGCCGGAGGGGTGCTGCAGATGTATTACGAGAAGGGCCTGGAGAAACCTTTCAAGGAATTCCAGCTGCAGCCGCAGTGCAAGCTGTCCGAACCCAAACTGGAGAGCTACAATGTCTCAGGGAAAATCCACACTGTGAAGATCGAGTGCGTGTCTTACACGGAGAAGAGGAGGTACCACCCCAAAGTGGAGGTGATCCACGAGCCAGAGGTGGAGCAGATGTTGAAGCTGGGCACCACCGACTACAACGACTTCACCGATTTCCTCGCCACGGTCGAGGAGGAGCTCATGAAGCTTCCTACTGTTTCCAGACAAAAGAGGAATTATGAAGAGCAAGAAATGACTCTGGAAATAGTGGATAACTTTTGGGGGAAAGTCACTAAGGCAGAAGGAAAACTCGTGGAAAGTGCGGTCATCACACACATTTACTGCCTGTGTTTTGTGAACGGCGGCGCCGAGTGTTTCCTAACCCTGAACGACCTGGAGCTCCAGAAGAGGGACGAGCGTTACTTTGAGAAGGAGCAGGGCAAGAAGTGGATCGAGATTCTCGACTGCCATTTCCATAACTGTGTCAAAGCGCAGGAATTTGAGCAGTCGCGGATTATTAAGTTTACACCCCTGGACGCCTGCAGGCTGGAACTGATGCGTTTCAGGACACACTACAATGGGCAAGACCTTCCCTTCTCTGTGAAGGCTGCAGTGGTGGTTCAGGGGGCATACATTGAACTTCAGGCTTTCATCAACATGGCCTCAACTGCTCACATCCCCACACGCTTACCCTCTGTGAAATACTGTGAAAATGTTATGATACGCTTTCCTGTTCCCACACAGTGGATCAAAGCACTTTGGACCATGAACCTGCAGAGGCAGAAGTCCCTAAAAGCCAAAATGAACAGGAGAGCATGCCTCGGGGCTTTGCACGAGGTTGAATCTGACCCCGTAATCCAAGTCTCGGTTGGAACAGCAAAATACGAGAGTGCCTACAGGGCCGTGGTGTGGAAGATTGACAGGCTTCCAGACAAAAATTCAAGTAAATAATTTGTGCTGTGGGCTTGGGTGTGTGTCTTCACTGGGTTTGTGCTTGTGTACCTCCATCAGCTGTTGTGGTTTGGGTTTTTATCTGTGGGATGCTGTTGGTAGAAGCCAGAATAATCTTTTAGGAAAAAAACCTTTTAGACTTACCAATTTCTTTAAACCATGATTTCGTAATTTATGTGATGGAGGCAGGTGTACTGTCAGTCATTTCAAGTGTGTGGTATCATGGAAGCAGAGCTGATCATTCAGAGTGAACCTCAAGTCTGTAGCAGTAATGCTGAGGGAAGGGTTTATGCTTCCCGTGGACCAGCTGGGCAATGGGTGGGATGGGAAGCAGAGGTTGGTAAAATGATTTATTAACCAAATATCACACAGCTAATAGAAAAGATGGTATTGGCACTGCTGGGTCTTGGCTTTTTAGCATCATTTACGAAATGGAAGGTATGATACAGAACTAGAAGGTGCTGTGGTTAAATTTGCTGTAGGAAGTGCTGTGCTTTTGCCAAGGCTGGTTTCTGTTGCCTCTTTCATAGGTTTGTGCTTTGAGATTGTACATTCATGGCAATAACTGCACTGACAAAAAATGCCTCCCACTTTATTCCCATTTCTTTCTGGTGGGGGTACCTCACTGAAAACTTGTACTAGTACAAACAGCTACGTTTTTAATTGCACATATGGAAGTAGTTAATTTAAAAGTGAAAATATGACTTTTTGAAGAAGAAAAAAATATAAATATTTGGGTTTACAATTCTAATTTTTAGTCATATTATGAGTACCTTTCTAAAGGCATATGCTACTTTTCTAAAGGCATAAAAATTCTTGAGGAATACAGTATCCCGCTTCAAGTTCTGCAGAGTGAAGGCATTTGATCCTTTGCTTGATCCTTTGCATTATGTGTACCTGAGGCTTTGGGGATCTGTGGGAGACAAGGGCACCTGTTAAAGCATTTAATGTAAAATATCTGTAAAATCTGTACTTTTGAAAAAGGGGGTAAGTGTATGTTACTAACATATGGATCTTGTGTTATCCTGTCTGGGCTAACTGCCTCTTCAAAAATGTCCAGAAAAGATTTTACCTTCTTAAGTCTCAGTTTCAGGCATTCTACTGCTAAGCCAGGACTAATGGTGTGGTAAGAGCAATGACAGAGAGGGAAGTGAAGGGCATGGGCTGGGGAGACTGAAAAATGGACAGGGAGGGCAGAGGAGTGGTGGAGAGATGTAGGAGAATGAGAAGGCAGAAGATTCTTTAGGTCTTCAAAATCCCTGTCCTGTGCTCCAGGTTTCAGAGCTTTGCACCACGTTGCTATAAGCCATGTGTTTTCCCAAGGCTTACAGGACTGTTTGGGTAGCTTTTAGTATTCTGTGCTTTTTAATGTAGGTTTCTGTAAAATCAAGTCAGCAGTTTAGAAAATTTTAAAGAAGATTAAGTCTTATGAATTTCCTGCAGTTCTTTCACCTGAAGATTTGATGTGCACAGTTAACTTCAGATTTAACTTATTTGAAAGGAAGAACTGGTTGTTTTTTTTTTTTTTGAGGCATTCCACAGCTCTACATTATTTCCACCAGTAGCTTAAACTTCTGACATTTGAATAATTCCTCTAGCTGAGATCTGCAGAATCATTTGTCTCTGTGAAATGTTCGTGCGTTTGAAAAAAACATTTTGGTAGTAATACTGCCCAGTCAAATTTTAAACCTCTATATCAAGTGCTCTGTACACAGTTAAGAGTTTAAAAATAGAGTTGTCCCAAGGCTTGCCAAAAGTCTGGAGACAGTCAAACTAATAGAAATATGTAAACTTTCATAATGTGTTTACCGCCGGCGGAAAAATATGCTGAGGACTTTGCTTTCAAAAAGCCTTTGTCCAAGACTTCTTAAAATAAAAAAAAAAGAAGGGAAAAAGAAAGGTTGCTTACAGTTATATTGTGGCTCCATTTATGGACATTGAAATATGTTGATATCCACTGGATTCTACTGAAGTGTTTCTTGGAAAAGTGCTGGGCAAGTGAAGTCAGTAGGAGCTGCAAGAAACAGCAGACTTTTAAAAGCTGCCTGTGCCTATTCAGATATATAGGTATTGTATTTGGAGTCAGAATTTTAGCATTATTTTTTAAAAAAGGAAAATAAGGAAAAAAGTTTTGAAGGGTTGATCCAGTGAAGTTTCTGCAGTTTGAGTCTATGTGAAACTGGGGCTTAGTGTGAGGAAGTGCAGAAGATGTTATGATTTTAGCACAGTACTGGGGCCAGACTTTGCAGCAGAGAAGCTGTGTCAGCTGCTTCTGAGGGAGTTCCCAGGGGGCAAGGGAGAGACTAAACTGCAAAGCACTGTGCTCTAATCACTTGCTGTGTAAATTTGAGCCCTGTGATTTTTCCTGCTAGGAGAAATCCTCCGTCCTTGAGCTACTGTGTAAAGCAACAGTCCTTCAGCTGATTATTTCTTATTTCATTCTGCATCATGGAGCCACTGAGGAAGCAGGTACTAAACAAGACAGCAGACTGGAGGTTGTGGCTGCTGGCAGCCTTGTTACAGCATCTGTGTATGGACTCTGCTGTGAGAGATGGTGTGGTTCCCAGGAACCACCAGGTGCTGCTCTTCTTATCTTCTAAACTGCCCAGGTGGAAACTCAAAGCCATGGCTTTGTCAGGTGGGCTCCATCCCTGCCCAGACACCTCCTCCTGGCACTGGCACCACCGTGAGCTGGGGCTTGGTGGTGGCACTGTCCCACTCCTCTGTTCCCTATGCCCTTCTCCCAGCAGGTTGCAGAAATGCACCCATTTAGAGATAGCTGCAGGAGTTACTAGCTTCTAACAACCTTGATGTCTGTAAATCTGCCCTTAGTAATTGTTTATGTTTTCATGTTCAAAGAGTTTTAGAACTGGACCTATTTTGGCAAAACTAGAATTATTACATAACTAAGATAACCAGTACATTATTTTGGCTTAAAGTGCTTTGCTTCATGAGTCTTTCTCAGATCAAGGTTGGTTGAATGCTACTTACACAGGTGAAAAAGGGGCAAAACTGCATTAATAAATGCAAAGTTAGATTATTAATTGCTTTTGAAATGCTTTTTGAATTCTAAATGATATTTGGAATCTAGTTTCATAGTTCTACTGATCTTTTGTTTGTTTGTTTCGGCTTTTTCATTGGTATTCCTTGGAGACAGAGAGCAAGAGTTTGGAATACTTTGAGGAAACAAGAACCAGATTTTCACATTTGGGCAGACTAAAATCTCTCAATTCACATAAGTCTTAACAAGTTGCATAGACACCTAAACTGCAGGGTTTCTGTCTCATAAATTAGATAGTAAAAGTTCAGTAATCTCCCTAGATTTTTCTGGTTGCCTCTCAGGTGTGGTTTGATTTCATCAGTCCTGGTGGTCCTGTGTTGACAGTGCCTGCTGGGCCACATTTTGGATAGCTGGGCTTGAATGTGTCATCTTGAATATGTCAGGGCTCTGAATATGCCAGACTGTGCCTGCTCCAACCCACCTGTCTTTCTACAGCACCACCTTTTCTCTCCTCCTGGCCAACACCTGGCTTTTTCAGCATTACAGTTTCTTTTCCAAAGGATCTTCTACACACAGCCTCTCTTTCTTCTTCCAACTCCAGTGTGACACATGGCCTGGGAAGCAGTGATTTCATGGAGCAGAGATGGAAAGAACTTCTCAGTTTTAGGTGAAAACTGGGGGGATGTTCAGAGCCTTCCAGAATGCTGGTCAGTCCCTTTGTCATCTGACAGCTGATGGGAAGAAGTTGCTCTGCGCTCCTAGCACAACCCAGCAGTGGCTGAACTTTTCCACCAGTGAAGGGGTGAGTACTTCCCTTTGACATTGGTGTTGGTGCAAGAGACAGATGGGCTGGGGGAACCCTGTGTTTTAGGAATAGGCAAAAAGGTCCAATGGAATCTGCTCCAGAGGACCCAAGGCATTATCCTTATCCAAATCCCGAACCTGTTGTCTCTTCCTTTGCAGGTTACCATCTAAGGAAAAGGAAGCACCCCAGAATTCACTGCATCCCAACACCAAACCCACCTCATGGCTGTCAGCCAGCTGGAATATAAACCCAGATGTTTCTTTAGATGGTCCTGAATCACAACTATGCCATGTCTAGCAGGGAAACCTTCAGCAACAGCCCAGGAGGTATGGCTCATCTGTGCCTGGATTCAAGTGGACATCTGGATTATCCAATATTTACCATCCAATATCTGCCCAGGAAAATTCCAAGCCGTGATTATTTCTGGATTCCATTTGTTAGAAAACAGAATAATTTGCTAGACAATTCCCACTGCTATTTGTTTCTTCATAGGCCTCTCTCCCAAAAAACCTCAAGAAGATTCTGAATTTGATCTCCAAAAACCCTTAGATGTATGCTTGTTGCCTTCTACCACAAATTAACTACAAGTAGCGAATGCTTTTTCCTCAGATTAACCACAGCCCCAGAGGGCTTGGCCTTTTTCCTGGCCAAGACATGCCATGGCATCTTGGTGCTGCCATGCCTGCTGTCCTCCCCAGGATGCTCCACTTGTGGCTGGCACTGTGCAGAGTCTGTGCAGCCCAACCCAGGAAACTGCACAAAGAGCAGGGCAGGTAAGTTGTGTGTTGCCAAGCTGCATCCTGGCACCACCATGGGAAAAGGGGGCAGGTCCTGGGAGCCAAAAGGAGCACGGTTCAGATGGGATGATGACATCTCGCAGCATGGCTCTGGAACAGGATGTTCCTCGTGGTGTCCTGTTGCTGGGATGATGGAGGAGTCAAGGATGGAGAGGTTCCATCAACAGAAGCTCATTCCACCATGTCCAGGCGGTCTGGAAGAGGGACTGAGGACCAAGAGAGTGTTAGTGCAGCAGAAATGGCCTTGGGCACAGCAAGAGGTGACCAGCAGCAGGTCATGGACAAGGCTCACATCACAGAGGTGCAGAGATCTGCCTGTCCCTGGGCACATGAGTGATGAACACCATCTCCTCCTCACGCTTGTTCTGTGCTCCACTTTCATTCTCAAGACATTGGCAGGTGGCTGTAATCCTTATTTCTGACTTTGTTCCCTCCTCTATTTCCACAATAAAGTCCCTGATGTTACAGTTGTACTTGCCTCTGTGTTTTGTGTTATTGTCCTGAGACATCAGCCGTGTGCTGCCTGCCCCTGGCACGGCACTCCTTGCAAACTGGGGATCCTTGTGCTCCAGTGCCCTGCAGGACCCTCTCCTGAGCTGTGCCCAGAGGGCTGTGTCATGTTACAGGGAAAACCTGCAGCACAGACAGGCACCCAGCCCAAGGCTCCTAGGAGCAATGGAGATGCAGCTCTTTTATTTATTTCTGCGTTACAAAATGCCTGTGAGCCTGTGGATGTGGAATATTAGCATGATTTTCCCCAGGGGATGGATAAAGCTCAGTTAATGTTAACTCCATCTTCAGTATTTCCTTTATTCTGTAACAGAATTGATTCCTGTCACTGGGGGAAGTCAGTGCATAAAAAATGGGACATTTTTCCCTGAACTTCAAGATTCCATTCAGTGTAATGGATGAAAACCAAATATACACCGCCAGGCTTGCCTTTGACAAAATACAGGCAATCCTTTTTCTCCTTATTTTTTAATTTTTTTCCCCCTGCCTGCAGCCAAAGCATAGTTAGTTATCTATGCTGGTGATTAAAATCCTGGAGAGAAGGAGAAATGCAGAATTGCTACATTTTGCCCTGGAGAATTTGGAGAGGATTCTTTTCATTATATTAAATTATCCTGCTTTCACACACACAGTCAGTCTGCTGACTCCAGTGGCTTTGGGAAGCAGCTTTCACCCTGTGTTCCTGTGTGCCAGGAGAAGTGCTTGCCCTTATCATTGCCACATGTAAGAAATCCTGAAGCAAGTGATCCTTAGGATCATCCCTAGGATGATGAAAGTAATTCAGAATATGCTGCACAAATCCTTAATGACTCTGCTTTATTAAATCACAGTTATTTTAGCAGTACTTTTTTTTGTTTTTTGAAGAAAGGGGGTATGTTCTTTTCCCAAGCAGACAGGGACTCCAGGTAGCCTTTATCCTGGCAGGTGGGATGTATCTTGTTTGAGCAGCACTCTGAGCTGCACCTTTATCTTCCTGCTGTGGACATAGTGTAATAAATGATGGTACACTAGATAGCTGTAGTGCTTGAAATAAGCACTGCAGTAAAATTTCTACAGCACAGAGCTCTGGAAAGGGGGTTATTGGACACAGGGCAGCATCTCTGCCCTGTGCATCTCTGTTGCATCTCTACACTGGCACCTTCCAGTTTTTGTTTTTCTCTCAGAGTAAGAAATACATTTTTAAGGGAGAACTGAGATTCCATCAAATAGTTTGAATTTAGCAACAAAGCCCTACATTTGTAACATCCTCTCAATGAGAAGCTGAAAGGATCTGGTAAATCTTGTGCAAATTAATTTGTAAAATTGCAATGACTGTGACAAGTGTGCTGAAGCAGACAGAAAATGAACAAGGGGCCACCTTATGTCCAAATAGCAAAAGATTATAAATAGAATAACCTTCTATCAAACAACAGCTCTGTGTTTTCTGTGTTTACAAAAGGTAAAGCTGTGCTCTCTTGCTAGGAGATGAACCTAAACAAAGAAAAGATAATTCACTAATGGTGTGGTTGTTTTCTTTTTCTTTCCCAAGGTTTGGATCACCCACACAGCCTGTCTTACAAACTGGAACTGGGATCAGACCAGGAGATCCCATCTGACTGGTACCCATTTGCTACTGTCCAGTTTGTTGTCCATGACACCTGTGCCTCAGGAACAGAAGTGAAGTCCCTGGGCATAGAGAGCGACATGCAGCCCCAGAAACACGTGGTGCAGAAAGCTTTTTACAGCTGCCAGGTATTCTCAGAGCTATGCTTTCCATGTTTTCCTCCTCTTCTCCCTCCCTGCTCCCCCATGCAGTACTTCAAAAGCATATTTGCTTTGTATTCGAAACATATCTTGCATGTACTTTTGATAATGACTTTGAGCAAAAGAATCATTAAATAATAATTCCTTGTCTGATCAAAGATGAGACTGAAAAATAGAACTGTGAATGCAGCTTTTTTTCTTTTTTCCCTCATTTGAGCTATTTTTGGAAGTAGTGGTTTTGAAATCTGTTTGGTCTGGAAATATTTTGATTTTGTGTCAAAGCTTTTTTTCATGCTGTTGCTGCAGTTCACACTTTCCGTGTCCAATTATTTGCTAACTCTACCTGCTGTTTTTTGCTTTCTACCTGCAGGTTGAAATTGAAAAGAAGTGGATTAGGCTTGATGGAGAAGACCCAGATAAGGCTGGCAACTGCCTAATGCAATGAAAGAGGACAGGAGGCACTGTCACAGGATATTAGTAGGAATCAATTTCCATAGGAAATTCTATTGTTAGAAGAAGGGCAGTGACCTAGTTTAGGGTAAACACGGTCATTGAATTTTTTTCTAGTGCTTATGGGTTTGAGTCTGCAAATCAGTGCTCATTGGACTGGCCTGCATTCAAGTAAATTTCCTGTCATGGGAGTCCTGGTATGAGCAAGGTCTCCTTGTCAGAGGAGCAGGATGTGAGCACTTCTCTGACTGATTTTAATGTATTGTTTTCCTGTTGTGTGACTGGGCAATGATCTCATTCTCCCTACTGAAACCTAATGGCACTACTCAAAAGGTTCATGTCACTTGGGCATGTAATATTTGCTAATAAAAACTTCCAGAGTGCTCATGATCTATCAGCAACTGTGTAAGGTCCAGAAGGACCAATTAGATTTTTTAGTGCTGTTTGAAAACTAAAGTCCCTCATGTTTTGGCTCTCCTTGATGTGTGTAGAACAAGTCCAAATAATATTCTCAACAAGAGCCTTAATTAATGAGTTGGAAATTGGGTGATTTCATTGGGAAAAAAGGGTCCTCTGCATAATAATACTCTTTATTCTTCTGTGGCTGCAACTGTTCCCTCCTCAGCACTTTTTAGGTTCACTCAAAGTAATCTCTTGGGCAAAAAACCCCATATGGCAGATGTGATTGAAGTTTCTGTGCCAGCATTACAGTTCCTTTTCACTGCTGCAGCAAGTGAGATAAGGGGTGGATTCTCAATGAGTGTAAATCAGTCCAGGGCCCTTTCATCTGATGAGGCTTGGAGAATTTACACCAGAGGAGGTTCCCCCCCACAAACTGGAGAAAATACTGCTTGCTGCTGTTTGCTCTGTGTCTCCTTTAGGATGCAAGCTCCAGATGTTGGTATGGAAACTGCAGGAGCTGTGGCTTTGAGTAACTTTTAAGACATGCATGGAAAGGGAGATGTTTTCATGCTCCTGGCTCTAAAGGCATTTTCCATGGGGAAGTAATGCAGGAATGGACTGTCACAAGAGACATGAAACTGTGATGCTTCATCAGGCAGCCTGAGCTACTAATCACCAATGTCAATGTGTTAATTGTGTTTTCCACAAACAATTGGCCTTTAGGGAAAGGTTTTAATACTTCCCTTCAAACCATTATCCCCTTTGCCATTTTCTGCAGGCTGTAATTCCATGTCTGAAACAATATAATAAATTTTAAAAATGCCCATGATACTCTTTTTTTTTTTTTTTTCTTTTGGGCTGCAGTTTTCCTAAAATTAGCCTTACTTCAAACTAAAATTAGTGGAGAACAAAAATATAGGAATGCACTGCCTCACTTTATATTCTGTATAGCTTGTAACTGTTTATATGAACACTGTGTAAAACTACAGATAAATGGTATTCCCCAAAAGTAGAAATATGTGGGATATACACAGAGAAAATTACCAGTCTGAGGAAACAGAAGACCATAATATGAACCTAGTTCATCACAATAAACTTTTCCCCCCATCCAGAAGCTGAGAATGAAATGGGTAATAGATTCTACAGTAAGTCGTGAGGGCAGGTTTTTTATGGGTATTGCATTGCCAAAGCCCCAAATAGACTATTATGGTATTTGGGCTTCTCTATATATCCCTTTTTATTAGCAGATTATATTGTTATAAATCTAAGCAAGCGTTGGACTATAGCACTGATCTAAATGTGTCTCAGCTGTTGCCTCCTCTGTCTGTGTTTTGACTTGAGAAGCCATTAGCACCTTCAAGTCATGTTTGGTGTGTTTTATTAATATTTAATTTTGGTTTATATTCTGCTCAGCTGAACTAAGGGGCACAGTGTTGCCACTAGGGCAAGGTGTTTATACTTGGTGACACGGCAAGCTCTGCAGTTTGCTGAAGTCCATGGCTGTACTACAGCTACAATATTTATTAACCTCTTTGCTCAGTGAGGTAGAGGAAGCAAAATATGCATTGCAATTACCTGCAGTTACCTTTGTCTGGGGCTGACTTGTTTTGGTTGGCATTAAACAGCTAATTCAGTAAGCCTGTTAGCAGTGGTTGCTCTCCAGAGCCTGTCTCACCCAGCTGGCCCCCATCTTTCTGTTTTTAAGCAGGAGGAACTTGAATATCTCCATTCCATCTCTCTTTCATCTTAGGATCTCCATTCACAGCACTCACCTCCTGGGCACTGGGTACCTGGTGGTGTTACAGTCCCTGCAGAAGCTTTGGCTGCTCTTATGCTCTCAGGTGTCTGCTGTGTCTCAGGATGTGTTTGAGGAGCCTGGGTAGTGTTCACCCTTCAAGATATGAGCTACTGTTTGCAGTGAGTGGCTTAAATAATAAATGACCACCTTATAAGTCACCATTCCTGCTAGAGAGTTGTATTAAAGTGTTATGGTGCAAATGATCATTCAGACTTACTGAACTCAATAGCATAAAAGGGTCAAGCCACAGCTTTATTTGTGTTGCAAACCCCTGGATTTTCATTTGAGGCTTGCAAGACTCGTGATTAACTTTAATCAGAGTTGGATCAGGATAACAGGGAATTAACTCCACAGAAATACTGCGACACTGAAAGAAAGTTACTCTGTTTAATACATGGCTTTCAGTTTAAACTGACAATTAGTGCAGCCTAAGATTGAATAATTGCCCTGTTCAGTCTCACACTGAAGTTCATATGCCTTGATGTCAGAATATTTAAAAATAGGCTGCAGTTTAATGAGAGAAAATTTGGGTTGTCTGACATGTTTCCCCGCCATCAAATTCCAACTTCCTATTATACTGCAACATGCCAAACCAGAAATAACCAGGCTTCTCCTTTCTTCTGTGTTGTCTTGAGCATAACTTACTGACCAAATATTCTTAACTTTAAGACTCATTGCTAACATTTCCCAAGAACGTTAGCTGCAGTTTTCTTAAAATTAGCCTTACTACTGATAGTATCAGCAGCCGATACTGATCAAACATACGGGCTCTGAATTCTTTAGGCTACAAGTAGTCTAATTGTAATTTTGGGAAGGACAATGGAGATGAGGAACAGTTGCTATAAGCTGTTGTGATGCACAAGCAGTGTCCAGCTAGCAGTAGGACTGGAGCTTTAAATAACCCATGAGGTGTTGGCATCATGTGGGGAGCCAGGTTTCACACGTGTCTGATCTCTGCCTCCCGCAGCGAGCGCCTGCAGCCACTGAAATGCTTCCAACTGCCTGGGTCACTTCAGATGCTGACATTTCACTAACATTTACTTCAGAGCAGTGTTTAGATGTTATCTGTGTTTCCTTCACAAAGGACCAGGAGGGTTTGGGAGATTTTATATTTAAAACAGAAATCAATGAGAACAACTATTTTTATAGTGTGTTTGCCTTACTTACAAAGTGTTGTATTTGCTGAAACCGACAAAGTTTATCTTTGCATTCATCTTTCTCATACTAATTATATTACTCCAGGTAAATGGTACTTGATGTAATTTTGGATTCAAACACCCATTGAAGACATTGGAAGTCTTTTAACTGATAAAATAAGATCTTCATCAAAGTCTCTAAGAATAAAAGAGAGACAAAAAAAAAAGAAGAAAGGAATAGTGGTAATGGTCTGTAGATTGATTTTTATGTCAGTAAGTAAGAACCCTGCAATGCTTGCTTATTCCAACCAGAAGAGAGCACAAAGTGTAAGAAAAGAGGTGTTACTGCATGCCACAGCTGAAGCTTTGCAGAGATGGGGAACAATGGTTCTGTTGCCCCTGGGTAGAATCTCTGAAGAAATGAGGATGATGATGCACTCCATTGAGCTTGATACCAAGCCACTGTCATCCTTATGCTCCTGGCTTTGTTTTCCTCTAGATTCTGTATGAATTGTCCAAAAGTATTTTACATCTGAACACATGTTTTCACATGTTACTTTTGGTTGTGTTTATTTTTCCTGGCAGACTTCTTTGCTGCAGTATTGGTGTCCATACTCCTATTTTGCATTTATTTGTCTTTTTGTTACTTAACACAGTAACTAACTGCTGCAGTTAGTAGTTCTTAGCAATAATTTTGATAACTCTGAAGCAGTGCTGTTACTTCTAATGGAAACTATAATTTTATTTGGGTCTTTTGTCAGTATAAGTGCAAAGAGATCATGCTGATAATCTTGTAATAACATTTTGTAGATTGCATATTGATTAAAAAAATAAAGTTGTATTTCAAACTAGCAGTTTCTTGTCGCCTTACTGGAAATGTATCAAGCTAGTTTTGCAATTACTGTAATTAACTGGTTGATCTTGATCATCAGGTATTGCAGCTCATCAGAAAGAGCAGTTCTAGTCTGTGAGTGGGGAATATCACTCAGAAAAGGCTGGTAGCAGAGAGCTCAGGGATGCACTAGATTACATTTATCACAGAACATTTAAGGTGGAAGGGGCCTTGCAGATCATCCAGTTCCAATCCCCCTGCCATGCATAGGGACAATTTTCCCTACATCATGTTGTGCAATGTCCCAGCCAACCATGAACACTTCCAGGGCTGGGGCATCCACAGCTTCTCTGGGCAACCTGTGCCAGCG